TCTCTTCTCTCATTGCATCACCATTTCTATATAATCCAAAGACTCAAACAACACCACTCTCTTCACTATCAAAATACTTATTACAAAAATGAGTAAGTTGTTGGCTTCGCCGTTTAGTTCATTACTCGCCGTCATTTTCATCTCCGTCGTCTCCGTCGTCCGATGCTGCTCACCTTCCGATCAAACGGCTCTTAATGCTTTCAAGTCGTCGCTAAGCGAACCAAATCTCGGCATCTTCAACACTTGGTCAGAAAACACTAACTGTTGCAAAGAATGGTACGGTATTAGCTGCAATCCGGATTCGGGTCGGGTCACTGATATTTCTCTCCGGGGCGAATCCGAAGACGCCATTTTCAAGAAAGCAGGCCGGTCCGGTTATATGTCCGGTTCGATTGATCCGGCGGTTTGCGACTTAACCGCGCTCACTTCCCTCGTCCTCGCCGATTGGAAAGGAATCTCCGGCGAGATTCCGCCGTGCATAACCTCATTAGCCTCGCTACGTATCCTCGACCTCGCCGGAAACAGAATTACCGGAGAGATTCCCTCCGAGATCGGAAAACTCTCCAAACTCTCTGTTCTAAACCTCGCGGAGAATCAGATGTCCGGCGAAATACCACCGTCGCTGACGTCACTCACCGAGTTAAAGCATCTTGAATTAACGGAAAACGGTATCTCCGGCGCGATCCCGGCGGATTTCGGATCGTTGAAGCTTTTAAGCAGAGCGTTACTGAGTCGTAACGAACTCACCGGGTCGATTCCGGAGTCTATATCAGGTATGGGACGATTAGCGGATCTGGATCTATCCAGGAACCATATCGAAGGTCCGATACCTGAATGGGTGGGTAACATGAAGGTACTCTCTCTTTTGAATCTGGATTCTAACTCGTTGTCGGGTCCGATCCCGGGTTCGATTCTGAGCAATTCGGGTTTCGAGGTTATGAATTTGAGTCGAAATGCTTTAGTAGGATCCATACCCGACGTATTTGGGTCGAAAACCTATTTCGTGGCGCTTGATATGTCTCACAATCAGTTATCGGGTCGGATCCCGGATTCGTTGACGTCAGCTAAGTTTGTGGGCCATCTTGATATTAGTCATAACAGGCTTTGTGGGCCTATTCCAACGGGTTCTCCATTTGATCACCTTGAAGCGTCGTCGTTTAGTGACAACGAATGTTTATGTGGTGGTCCTTTGATGAAGTCATGTTAACAATAAGGATTTGGTTCCGGTTTAGCTGAAACCGGGGGATTTCTCCGTGTGTTTCAACATGTTCGTTGTATCAAACTTGTTATTTTCTCTCTTTTTATTCTTCTTTAAACAATTTAAAGTTCTAAAAGCTAATATGTTATACTAGCAACGACATGGGTACACACCGATTTAATCTGTTTCCCGATGTATGGAATATGGTAGCTCATGTATAATTAAAAGCGATGTTATAGATCTTATATATTTTTTTTTTGTTAAAGATTTCAATAGAAATGGTGATGAGAGGTAAAAAAACAGAAAATAAATGGTGTTGCACAATAGTTGTCGATCTAAATGATTCAACCAAAAATCTAATATCATTTTAAGAATATCGGTTTTAAATTAAAATATAATTGGCAATGAATCGATTGATTAATATCTTCATTTTCAAAAGTGCAATAATGTAACAAACTCAATTATAAGACTTGAATCATGTAAAACCAGCTACATCGTACTATTAAATTAAAAGTGCGATAATATAACCAGTTGGATTGCTGATTGAGTTACATTATCTGTTTGACAGATTTTCGCTTATGTGTGAGTGTATTTGCTGAAAATCAATGTGAAAATAGTTGGTACCCTGCACAATATCATTAGACATGAACATATCTGTCATTGGCCCCCATAGCCAAAATCTCTAGTTGAGTTCTACACTACCGTTAG